GGTCCTGCACCTGGGACAGGGCAACCCCCAATATCAATACATGCTGGGGGATGAAGAGATTGAGAGCAGCCTTGCCAAGAAGGACTTGGGGGTGCTGGTAGATGAAAAGCTGGACACGAGCTGGCAATGTGTGCTTGCAGCCCAGAAAGCCAACCGTATCCTGGGCTGCATCCAAAGAAGTGTGGCCAGCAGGTCGAGGGAGGTGATTCTGCCCCTCTACTCTGCTCTGGTGAGACCTCACGTGGAGTCCTGCGTCCAGCTCTGGAGCCCTCAGCACAAGAAGGACGTGGACGTGTTGGAGCGGGTCCAGAGGAGGGCCACAAAAATGATCCGAGGGCTGGAGCACCTCTCCTACAAGGACAGGCTGAGAGAGTTGGGGTTATTCAGCCTGGAGAAGAGAAGGCTGCGAGGAGACCTTATTGCGGCCTTCCGGTACTTAAAGGGGGCCTACAGGAAGGATGGGGAGAATCTTTTTAGCAAGGCCTGTTGTGACAGAACAAGGAAGAACGGATTTAAATAAAGAATAATAGATTTAGACTAGACATAAGAAAAAGCAATTTTTTACAATGAGGGTGGTGAAGCACCGGAACAGGTTGCCCAGAGAGGTAGCGGAGGCCCCATCCCTGGCAACATTCAAGGTCAGGTTGGCTGGGGCTCTGAGCAACCTGATCGAGTTAAAGCTGTCCCTGCTCACTGCAGGGGGGTTGGGCTAGATGACCTCTAGAGGTCCCTTCCAACCCAAAGCATTCTATGATTCTGTATGTTTTGGGTATGGCAATGATGACATTATTTTGAGAAAGGGAAAACATAATCTGAACACCAGGAAACCATTCAGTGGGCAAAATGCACTGACTCTGGAATAATGGTCTAAATTGTGAAGTGGTATCTTACGGATCTTAAAAGCGACGTGGGTAAGAGAATGTAATGTCAGGGAGTCTTGTCTTGGCTGTGAAACAGCTGAGAAGGTGTAAATGTATATAAGTACCTATATCTGCTGGGATAACTTGGGAAGTTGAGTTGGATAACCTACTCTCTTTCCTTTGATCGAGGATGTTTTACAGACATTTTTAATGAAAGCAGATTCCCACTTTAAATTTTAATACTGGAATTTTTCCAGGGAAGAATTCTTCTTTCCAAAGCTGGAAAGACTAGTTTTGTGAGAGTGCAAGTGATTCTCAGCTGTTACTGCTCCACCTATTTAACACAGATATAAAGTAATAAAGACAGAAGTTAAGGGAGATTTTTTGTCTTTGGGGTAGGGATGCTCATGTCCATTGGAAATACCTTTTTGGTTGTTCTTTCAAGGAGCATTTCAGATGGTGCAGGTTCATGTTTATGAGACATTTTCCTTTGATTCCATATCTATCAAGAAGGCTGTGCGAAGTGTGACTATGGAGAGAGCAGCAGGCTATTAAATAATTTAGATGGAAACCACTGCACATTTTGGATAAGACCTTCTGAAAAGTCATCACGTGCATCACACAGACATCAGCGTAGAAGGAAGCAACTTGTGTGAAAAAAGAGGATTTTACTCTAGCGACGTTCCTTGGACAACACCTCCTCTCTTCCTCTGTGCAGAATTGCTTTGATACTGACTTCCATGGCACAGAGGAGGGCATTTAGGTGGTATCCACTACAGTTTGCAAGGTTACTTTCTTTACCTGCATGAAGTGAATTCATCAATATGAATGAGATTGATTTAAAAATAATCACTTGGATCTTGTGATGCAAGAATGAGTACTAGCCGCCTCCTGTCATCAAGCAGAGAGGCTGGGAAGGGTGGGGGCGAAAGAGTGTGGCAGAGCCGGGTTCTGGTCTTGCACACTCCAAAATCTACCAGTCTGCATATATATGCTAATTTAGGGCTACTATAATACACTGCTCTTACAGGCAGTGAGTCATTGCACACTAGAGCGAAGAGGAATCGGGGAGCGTTTTGTGCCCCAGTGTTTCCCACAGGGTGTCTGCTGGGCCTGCTGCGAGAGCGAGCACACACAAGCTCTGAGGATGGGTGAAATGCTGTGCTCCCTGGGCCCACACAGGAAAGCACAGCCCTCTCTCCTGCCTCACCCTTCCACCCCCGAGTTTCGCCTACTGCTTATAGCTCCTCCCTTCCCTCTTGTTGCACTTAGAATCAAACTGCAAGATTTCTGGACATGCATTCGCTTTTTTTCTAGATATATGCTAAATGTCCAGGCAAAGAATACTGAGCTCGTGGCGAGGTCACTGAGTGTAGCACAGAGATGCCCAAAGTAGCTTCAGGGGAGCATGGGTCCTGCAGTCACTTAGCTGTGGCACTGCAATGGGGTCACTTACCTTGCTGAACTGTGTGCTGCTACGGGAAGACTGCTACAGGTATTTGAATTTGTGGTTTGGAAAGAAGCTGTTGAGATCTCTCTCCACCACCCTGCAGTATGATCGTGGCAGTGTAGAGATACTCTGAGAGCAGTGATTTAATTAGTCACAAGCACTTTGCTTGAGGGTTAGAGTTGTTGCATAAATGCAAACCTTTTTATTAGCAGTAGTATTTTCAAGAAAACAATCCCTGGGCAGAAAGGGGCTTCAGTGTCCCCCCCAAAATCACAGTAGATAGAAAAGAAATTGCTCTTTGTTCTGCTGACTCAGTTGAGGTGCTCTAATAGGCTGCAGGAAGCAGGGAGGGGACTGCCTAATGACTGTAAATAATAAAGGGGTGGGGCAGGAGAGCCTCATCATAAAATCCCTATTCCTCCACCCCTAATGTGCATGAGGAGTTCCTGCCAGCTGTACGACTTGGTATCTTTTAACATTGGACTTATATGCAACTGGGGCTGCAATGGGATCAAATTTAAGTTCAAATGAGGTAAGCAAAAGAAGCCAATAGCAAACATAAAGTGGGTAAAATTATCTGATATTCCGGTTAAGTTGATCACAGAGGAGAACAAGCTGTTTGAGGTGTAAAGGCAACCCATGGAAAGCGAGTTTGCTGTTCCTCAAATCTCGTGGTTGCAAGGATGGTTTTCCTAGTCTAGCCTTTTACAGAACCTCGTGGCATGTCTGCATTTTCAGGCTATGTTTTAGGGCTAACATCACTTACTATGCTTCCTTGAAAAAAAAAAACAAACTTCATGTCAAGGACATAAGAAGCTGACACAGAGTTGTGATGGGTTTGGTGGTCAGTAAAGCATCTAATGAGTGTCATTAATGAACATAGCTCTAAGTATGGCTTTGAATGTGAGATGTTTTTAAATGTAAGCTTAAAATAGGAGTTTAACATGTAGCTTAGTTTTCTTAACTTTGCCTTGTGTTGTTTTTCCTAGAATTTTACGGGCACCTCAGCACCAGCGGTGAGAACGGTAGGTAGTAATTAGCTGGCCCTTCATTAAATGCTGTCCAGTGCTGAATGTAGATCACCAGAAAAAATGTTAGGAATTCAATGGCTCGGGGGAAAACTGTACTGCAGTATTTACTGAACACTGAAAAGCTGAGCCTGCAACTTCAGCTCTGTAGATGAAATATTACCTTGGCTTTCAGTAAACTCTAGACTGTCTTCTGTTGGTGTCTGGTGCTTATGATGCTGTGAGTAGGTGTTGCACTGTATCTGGGCTGGTTTGTACTTCACCTATATCCATTTTTTTCTAATTCCTCCCTTTTTTGTGTTTTGATTTCTTTGGATGAAACACCCACTTGTCTTACAGGTTATTCCTTCATAAGAAGACTCTGTTTAAATGGGTCTTTCAGTTGTTCTTAGGGCTCTAGTATTCCTTGTAGTCTTTCGTTGCATTGTAATGATCTGTTGTAGAGTTTGCAATTCTCTGTGTAACATGGTGTTTAAAAACACAGCATCAGAACAGGTAAAACTGTGGAAGAAATGTGTTGTGTTCAGCCTCCTGACAAGCCCAATCTCATCAGCCCGGTAGGAGTGGGACCAGTGCCCAAACTTCTCTGAATGCAAAAAAAGAGCAACAAGGTGTTTTGTAAAGCCTGAACTGAGGATGAATTATTTGCACAGGCAAATGAAAACTCCCACAGCAATTAGCAGACGTTCATGTTAACAGGTATTAGCATAAAGGAAAATATATCAGATAAGCTGCTATGAGCTAGCGAATGGGAACAATGGCAGTGGCAACAGGATGAGGCTCTCTTCAGACATTTGCAGTGGGTTTGGGGCTGCCAATATCAGCTGCAACTCTCTGGGGATCTGTAGTCGGAAAGATGGGCTCTTGCCCCTTCTTCAAGTGACGTGGGGGTTTCCCAGCCAGGTTTGTTTTGGGCTTTGGTTCCACGTGGGCGATTGCAGTGATACAGAGATTCTCCCAAATGGTGGTAAATTTGGTCTGCCTCATGAAGGTTTGCTGTTCATGATCGTATCTGATGCCTGATTGTGCCCAAGAGCCACTTGCCTTCTCTGTTCAAAATGAAATGCTGTGGTAAAGCAAAGACTTTGCAGAGTTTCTTCAAAAAGCAGCTTTTAAAATTACGTTTAGGCCTCTGTGTATAGTCTTGCACCCCTAAGGAAGTATGCTAGGATCACAAAAAATGTTACATTTTGTCCTGTAAACTTAGCCTGTGTTTAGGGGATCAAGCTGGGTTTTTTTTATCCTTATTGCTTTTACATTGTTAGTAGGCCTCTAGGTGTGAGACCTGTAGAGTTCAGTGGCTTTAGATTGTGCCTTTTGTCTTTAGGGTATTTAGGGTGGCAGACCTGACCTGAAAATAGTACATAGAATTTAGGGTAGGACCCAGAGCCCCTTCTTTCTGCCCTGACTCTTTGAGGCTAACAGAGGCAAAAATCAGGAAGGACCTGAGCTTCCCCCATCGCCCCAAAGTTGGTATTTAAAATGATAAACATATAAGCATAATATATCTGAGTTGTTTTTTTGTTACTCAATGGCTCAGTTAAGGAAACCAGCTTTCATTATCAGAGTCAGTTTCAAGGCAACCCATGGGATGTGTGTGATGGAAACTTGAGTGGCCATTTTAATGGGGGAATATGTAAAAAATTTGGTGAGAAAATGTTGGTAGTGCCCTTGGGCTGATGGGCTAAAAAGTAATACTTTTTAGGTGACTGAAATTACTGTATCGTATTAAAATAATATAAGCTTGTGTGGTCTTAAGAAAAAGCCGTGTTGAACTGTGGAAATGCTTGATTTGATTTCTCTTCTAAAATTTGGATTTATTCTAAAGTGCAAGTCCAGCTATGGAGCTGTAAACAGAAGGAGAATAAAAATCATGTGAAAATGGCAGTCTGAAGCTACACAAGTTTTATATATCTCTTGGAAAGAAACAGGCCTTGAGTCACTGCTGCGCCATTTGTTTTTATTCTGGAACAACCCCAGTGACTTCTGACTTAATAAGACCCAGCTATGGGATATTTTAAAATGGATGAAATAAATACAAAAAATGTAGTTCAAGGAAAAGTGTTTCTTATGCATTTGACCTTGTCTGAGGTGGTAGACCTGGTAACATAATGAAATCCTGCCTGCCTTGAGGCTCCAAAACTCTTTGAAGCTAAAAGGTGCCACATACCTGACCCAGAAGCACGGCAATGATCTGTGTTTTAAAGTCCTGCCACTCTTTCTGACAGGTCTGTCTTTGTTGGTCTTCACCGTTTTTAAAGTAGCAGTGAGATTTCTCTTCCTTTTTAAAGAGACAGCTAAGGGAAGAGTGCTCCGCTCCAAATAGATCTCACACACTGTTTTACTTTGGTAATTGCCTTTTCTCTTGATGTAAATTGGGGATGTTTTATATGTTTCAATCCTCAAGAAAAAAAATTCTATAAAAGACTTTTGTAGAAGTATTAGCTTTGAATTTTACTGAAACAGAGCAATTTTAGAGCCCAGGTATGTAACTCTTACTCATATGGATGAGCGCTTGCATATATGAACACTCCCATTGACTTCCCTGGAACTAGATATGTAAGGATTGCACAAGTGCCACAGGACTTAATTGAACTTTTATCTGACGTAGGATAGTGTGACCAAGTCCTGCATTTGCAGTCTCATATATTTAAGTAGTTTCAACAGTGATTATTAAAATGCCTGGCTTGTGTTTCCGGTTTATGAGGTAACAATCATGTCTCAGATGAAATAAATACAGAAGCTGAAAGTCGAGGTGTGCATAATAACTGACCTCAGAGGCTTCTGGCCTCAGAACTTACCCAGCCTGCGATATGGTCATCATCACATTAAAGGGTAAGATGTGGAAGTCCTTGCCTATTACTAGCAGGTTATCCAGTTAAAGATATGCCCCTCAATAGCTTTTCTGTGTGACTTTGAGTAAATCACTGGCAGCTAAACTTGACAAAGCATTCAGGCACCTAAAAGTTAGGAGCTATAAGGTCTGACTTCCATGTCACTAGTATGGGAACAGACTACAATCCAGAGTGAAGCACTGAGGATTGATTTAATATGTTTGGAGAGTTAGATACACCAGAGTGGGAATTGTAACAGCTGAGCAGGGAACTGCATAAATAGGTACATCCAGCTAACAGGGACAGCTGAGCACAGAAACACTCTTAGATCCTATCTCTGTGTGCCACTTAGGGCTGCAGGGAGATACCACTAGCCACTTGAGATGCACAAAGTAGAGGTCTAGATGCTTGTTTTCAAAGAACTGAGCAAAGGTTATTCCTTTAAAATGGTGTCCAGCCTAGCGGTTATAGCACTTCCCTGGGATGGGAAACTTCTGCTGAAGTCCATCCTTCTATATTCAAGGGATGCAAGCCCCATCCTTCCTGGGTAAAGATATGCTCTGTCTCTTCTGCTGAAATAGCACTGCTGAGGACAAAAACATTTAGAATTTTTTGGGTGGGAAAGCAAGGACCAAGCATAAATGCAGCAAACATGTCAGTAGATTTGGCAAGGATAGAGAAGCCTTGGCCGTTGATCACTGTGCCTTCTGTGTTTTACCCAGTTCTACCTAATGCATATAGAAAAGCAGTTCTGGCAGTTCAACTATATAGTCTGGGCATGATGTCTTTTGGTTGCTTTTGATTGGAGACCATAATCTTTTCTTGTTTCCCCCAAAAGAACTAGTTTTTTTCTTTCAAGGTGTGTCTGTCCAGGTTCTCCTTTGTGGCCATGTTTGGGATAATGGAGCAGGTAGAGGTGTGATATACTCTGAGACAGCTGAAATGTCCCACAGATGACAATTCAGGTGCTTGCGAACTGTGCACCATGAAATTGTGCCCTGTGCTAGAATCTGGGCAGATTAAGATAATGTAGAACAAATGTGCCCATATCAGTGACTGCTCCGACCCTCCTGCTGCTGTCTCACTGACCTTCAACTCTGCGTCTTCGGGCCCCTTGCCAACCAAAGGGAAGCGCAAGAGGATATGCCAGGGATTACCCAGGCTGTTTTGTGGAGGCTGTTCTTCATCTCTGCTGCATTTTCAGAGGTGCCGAGGTTTTTGTTGGTGAGGACAAGGACCTGCTTCATTACAGTGTGTTAGCGTCCAATGTCACATCATGGTCCCAGTTGCTTAACACTTTGTCAAAGCATTGTAAAAAACTTCAGGATAGGCCTTGTGCTACAGCTGGAAAGACAAATAGTCCAGCAACAGGTATAGTGTGTAGGAAGGAAATAGTAGCAATGTACATTTTATTAGTTAACATCAGTACATAGTTTTTACTTTTGCTGCTTATTATTAATACAGGCACTTCAGATGCAAAGTAATAAAACCCATGAGTTTGTGTTAGGACACTGTATTAACTTTACTAGGGTATAGTATGTCTATGAATGCAGGAGTGAGAGGGTGTATGGGTAGAGTTAATATCTGTTCTTACAAACTGGTAGAGATAGAAAGATTAGACAAGTTTTTTGGGCACAAAACACCTGTTTCTGTTCTAAAACAGAATCAGTAGACTCAAAGCTAAATACCCATTTTAAGCAAGTGCTGAGAGAAATGGTATCTGTACATACATTGGTTTTAAAAGGAAAGATGGTACCTATGAAACAGAGGAGATGTTAGCGTGGGAGAGGAGAGAAAGATGTTAAGTAGTTACCTCCAAGGTGAAATGGGGAAAGAGTTAATTTATAGCCTGAGGAATATGAAGACATATTAGTATGAGCCATGGAAGTTATGAGGTATTATAGAATTAATATCTCTGAGCCCAAGGTATCTGATATCTAGTGGAGTTGTGAGTTAATTCCCAAGACCATCTCTGGAAGGAATTTTGTAGCTTTCTGCTGGGGATCAGGGCTAAAGGTCAGAGATGGATCAGAGTCTTCATGAGAAGTATCTTGTCACTGTCAGCTGCATTTCTGGCCTTTTAAGCTGTGCGTGAGGGCTTGTGCTGGTGCATGGTGGCCACTTAGCTCTACTTGCACACCTACTGTGACAGTGTTTAGTGTCCCAGAGACAGTCTGTTCTAGTGCAGGCGGTGGTGTGTAAGAGGTGAGGACACCCATGCGTGTGCTGTAGGGGTGTTTGTTGTGGTAAGAAGAGTGGTGTTGGAAAGAAGTGAGCTTTATCAAAACAAGCTCTCAGCACCTATTCTCAACTCATAAGTGGTTTTGAAATCTGTTGCTTCTATTTCAGACTTGAGAAGGGTTCTGTGCCAAAAATTTGTATAGTTTTTCCAACTGCTCCAGTTGATTTGATAAATGATACTGGCTCAACCTTAAAAACCTTTTTTTATCTACATCCTTAGAACTTTAGGGTTATAGTACTCTGTGACTATAGACTGTAATATTAATCTCAATGTCATCTTTTTTTTTTTCTTTTTTTTGAATGGTTATGCAGAGACCAGTATCTCCTTTCAACTTGCTCACTGTAAAAATACTAAGAGTGAGGAATGTCCGGAAGGCAGACTTACGTGAGTACTTCTACTATTGTTGGATGTTTCTTGTAATTCTTTAAAGAAAATATTTGGTCAATGTTACTGTTCTTAAATTGTGTCGGAATAAGAAGATATGTTGCTGCAAGTTTGCAAGAATTATTTTTATTGTGATGCTGAAGTGTTGTTTTGTGCTCTTAAGTGTAAAGAGGTGATGCAAGGTGATGCATTTGATCTCTTGCTTTCATACCTCCCTGTATGAGACATATTTACTACCCTTGTGACATCAGACTTAGCTGTGGATCAGAGGGCTGCTCTTTAAAGGATGAAAATTCTTGCACTTTTGAGTAAGAAACCTGAGTATTCCCTACAGAATTTCTGAACAGAAGAAAGGAGAAAACTGGTGATGCAAATGTAAAATCAGCAGTAGTAAGAAAGCCTATAACAAGCAGAAACATTCTATTACTTCTGCAGAATCTATAAATATGCAAGAAGAGATGATAAAATCCAGCATGTCTGGGAATTTATTTACCTAGAGAATGGAGCAATTTAAAAGTCAGACAAAATTAAACAGAACATTATGGTGAGAGTTTTAAAGGAGTTTAAGTGAGGGATAGTGAGGGGAAGTGAGAAAAGGCTATCTAGAACAGAGACTACAAGAGAAAAATGTCACAGCCAGATCACAGAACAAGAATTAATAGTGAGAAGAGACCAAGATAGAAGAAATATCTGCAGTAGGGAAGTCTACAGAGTCTGGTGATATCCAGCTGTGGAAGCCCTGTAACAATTCACCTTCTCTGCCTCTGCAGACTAGTGGGCATCAGCTTGTTGAACCAGTGTGGCAGCAAATGTAAAATGAAAATCCTCAGTGGAAGAATGAGCCTTGCAATAGGTGGAAAGTACAGTTTGCTCACTCTCCAGATGTGACACTGACTCACCCAGGGGAGGGACAGGTTTAATTCTCAATTTTAAAATTTCCAATTCATTGAAGAGCTTACTCACAGCTTCTGTTCCACAGATGTGGGTTCTCAATAGCCCAATTTCCTGGGTGCACTTTCAAAATGCAGCTATGCCACTGAGTCACTTTCATGGGGAAATTTGAATGGTGAAATGTCTGTATAAAGAAGCTGGGAAGGCTTGAAAGAAAAAGCCAAAATAAAGACAAAGAGAATAAGAAAATTCAAATTGAAAGACCACAAGAATATATTGGAAAGATGTAAAACAAAGAGGAGAAGTCCACAATATGTTCACCAAAATCTTGCTGAACATTGCTCAAAATTAAATTTCTTTTGGCACACTCAGAATTTCTAAGGAAACCAGCTGAAATTTTAGTTAATGTACCATATATTTTGAAATGTCAACTAATATAATGGGTCAAGAGTAGAGGCAAAACTGTCTTCTTATCTGAGGTTGGATTTTGTGGTTTCTGGCAGGAAGAATGTGGTTGGAACACGTGGAAGTTGTGCTTAACAACAGTATTTTTGAATGAATGACTACTATCAGAGAACATATCTCTGCTGCACTCAGTTGTGGTATTCTGGTTACTCCTGCATCTTCTGCAATGTAATACTACTGCGCTTATTTATCTTTTTCCTTTTATTTTTCAGCTTTAAAAAAATCTGCCATGATTTACTGAATGCCTTGTTTACTGTTTATGTCTTAATATTTTTTTATTCTAGAAATGACAGATGGCCAAGCTACTTTGTGATATTTACAGTGTCATTTTGAAAAAGGGATTTGGTTCATTAGAAAAAGTGAGAATACCTTATAAGATGCAAAGTTCTGGGTTTCTTAGAGATTAACGATCTATTTTAAGGTGCAGAAACACACACTTTATGGGCTTACAGTTGTATGCACTGACGTTTTATTTAACAAAACCCAGAGGTTCAAATGCCTAAGTGGTGATTTGCATCAACCAAATATGTGATCTGACCAGGCAGTCACTGCAATTGCATCTGCAAAACAGCATGCACAATTCCACTTGCATTTGTGTACTCCAGCAGGTTGCCTGCTTACACTTCAATTCATTGTGGCTGTCCTTCTCAGGAACGAATTGCTCACAGATGCTACTTACTACAGTGAATCGTACAGTCTTTCTTCACGAAGCCTGTTGGCATGTCTGCCACATCTTATTCCCTTATTTCCTTGTGTTCTGGTCTAAAGAACAGATGAATATCATTACCCCCTTGAGATGTGCTGAATTCAGAGCTTGGCCTTCCCAAGGCTTTGTTTAAAGTGTATCTGACAGAGAGATTTGAAAACGTTTCAGCGAGAGTATTTTCTCAACAGACAATTTGTTTGCTGAGGAAACTCAAATTATTGTGGAAAAAAAAATTCATTTTTTGTCTGTAGTGGGAAGGATATGTCAGGCAGGCTTTACATTTTCTGAGGCATTGAAAAGGCATTTGAGAATCCAAACATTTCAGTTGGTTTTCCTTGAAACCTTGGTATTTTCAACTATGGGAAAGTATCCCTTTTCTACCTGTTTGTAAAGGTAACAGTATGCTTCTTGTTACAATTTTGAGTTAGCATTTATTTCTTCCACTTTAGTTTTCCTGGTTTTCTGATTAAACTTTGGTGTGTCTCATTTCAATGGTATTTTTTCATATTTTCTTGTTAGTGAAGTGTTTGTGGTTAATTTATTGAAGTGAATCTTTCTTCTTGGTCTTTGATTCTCACATTCCTATTTATGAGTGAAAAATAAATATTCTTTAAAAGTCTTTCTCCTTAGCGTTGTTCCAGAGCAAGATAATTTTAATAGATTTGGGTGTAGGCCTGGAAATCTAGACTGTGTTTTGGACCCTGACAATGACTGCATTATGGGATCTTGGGCAAGTCATTCAAGTTTTCTCAATGTATTTATTTGCTTAATCCTTACATTGCCATTGTAAAGTAATTCATCAGTGTGTCTCAAGCTCTTTGAAAATGGAAGCTCTAGCATTAATCACCATTAACCATTTACATTTTCAGCTGCTTACACTTGTGCCTCTGCCAAATGTCTGATCGGTTGTGCTCTTCTGATCAGGTTTGGCTAAGGGAACTTTCTGGAAACACTTTCCTTCCCACTGTTGTTATCTGATTGTGCATTTTCAGTCATTTGCTGGTAGTGATAGCATGGTTAACTACACGATAAAAGCACAACGTGGGAGAAATATGGTTGGTAGAAAAATCTAAATCTGTAGTTGTTACTGAAAGATAAAGAGGAAATACATGAAGAAAATTGTACTTAATATGATGTAATGACACTGTTACAGGTTTTGAGCATGATGCAGGGATTGACTATGGGTTGAATTATTTGACCCCTTCTGACTCAGAAGGTTGCTGTAAGAACCAGATGACTGGTTGAGTATTGCTAATGTGAAATAGGGAGGGTATGTATTGCATTATAGGTGTGAGAGAAAGGCCATTGGTGCCTGTGTCAAGCTTCTGCAAGTCTCACTCCATGGTGGTCCTCCCCCCAGACATGGGGGGTCAGAATATGGAAGAAGCTTAATTCTTTGGTGACACTTACGGCTACCTTACCCAGACTTGAGTGATGGAAAGATTTTTCTAGTCTGCAGATACAGTGGTAGGAAGGAATAGGATGAATTGTAACTTAACCCTGCTGCTGAGACTGATTTTGTTTTCCAAAAGACCTGCTAGGAAAGACAGAACTTCTAAAAAAATTAATCAAATACATGAATGAATATGAAATTGGCATATTCTGATTTGTGATAAGGAAATCAAACTTTTCAGCTTTGATGGGAGAATGCTTTACTTTTTGGCAAAAAAAAAAAAATCTGTCATTCTTCATTTAAGCCAGCACTTTGATAAAGGCTTTCAACTAGTTAAGGTATCAAATTTGGGGAGAAAATGCTAGAAGACAGGTCTCTCTGCAGCCCAGATCGAAGGTTGTGAGGTGTGTTACCTGAGCAACGGAGGAACCATCCTAGAGCTGATGTGAGTGTGCGTGGCAGAGGGCATATACCAGTAGATATTCGTGTGTTTTGGTAACATTACCCTGCCCCAGTCATTTGGATAGTCATAAATATAAAGCTAAATGCAGCACAGATAGGTGTGCTTGTACTGCATGTGGAGTACACTGCTATTTCGAATAAAACTTTATATTGGGAATGAACATGGCAAATATGTGAGGATGTTTCTGTTTTCCTGTGAACACTTCATTGTATTGTTTACTCTTCACCCTGTATATTTTAGGAAGAAATCCCCTACTGTGTTATCATTACGGTTAAACGTGCACAGTGCAGTAATTCTTTCTCTGGATACGTTATCACTCTGCTCATCTTCTTGTTATACAGTCACCCTTTCAGATTGTTACGTGACACTGTGGTTGCCTACTGCCTCAACTGAGAAGGTTCGGACCAGAACCATCAGAAACAGCAAAAACCCCGTCTGGAATGAAGCTTTCTGCTATAAGATTGACCGCCGAGTCAAGGTAGTGAAAATAAATGGGTTTCACCATTTGTTGTCTGCAGATAGTCAGTAGATTATGCAAAACTACAATAAACCAATAAGTATATAGCTAGTTTCCAAACACTGGAGGTGTTAAAGATTCCTCGGAAAAAACTCTGTTGCTTACATCCTCCTTGGTATTGTTCTGTTCCAGCTATTTGTTACTTAAACATCCACTATACTGAGGCAGTGAGAAGCATTTAAATGCCCTGCAGAATATGGCCCTGCTATCCTATTCCTGATCTTGACATATACAAGTGAAACCCAAGATAAAGATCACATAAAAATAACAGTAAGGTCAGTTAGTTCTAGGTAGGGTAGAAAGGAACTCCTTTAAACATTCCTTATGTACCTGTGCCTGTTTCATACATTTAGAGCCAAAGGCCATAAAATAAATGTAGAAACATTTAACACAGTTATTTATCACAAATTCATGAATGTTCTGCATGACGGGCCTGTCTTGTTTCATTTCCGCAGGCAGACAAGCCCGCTTCTTTGTGTATGTACAGTTATCAGTAATGTAAAGTCTACTA